AGTTTTGACAATGCTATATCCATAAAATTTCTTGAATCTGGCCCTTTCTTTATATTTCTATGGATGCCACTCTAGTTAAGACTTTTAGGACTTTTAGGACTTCTTACTCTGCAATTTCAATAGCCTGCTAATAGTGGATCCCATTATTTTGCCAATAATCAGTCTCCCTGTTAGAGATTTGGGCAGTATGGGTAGGCAAGAAGGAGGGGTTACAGGGTATGACCTAGGGGGTGGCCCAAGTCAGAAGCCTTGGCCATAGCTGTCAGGGAGCAAGAGGAAAGGAAACCTTCCTACTTTAGCTGCTCTCAAAAAGGGGCTATTCTTTAAAGAAAGGGGAAGGCCATTCTTGACTGGCAGCCCCAAGGTCAGCCTGGTTTCTGAAGCATTACTGCTCAGAATCAGGATCAGTCAGTGTAGATGGTACAATCTAGAAAGAAGATGAGATTCAGGTGCCTCTCCTCCTAGCTCCCAGCCTAACTTCATTCAGGACAAGCGAATCAGCTGGTTTCCTCTACAAGCTTAGAATCCCTAGCCAGTTGGGGAGGTCTGCTTTGGAAGAAAGTTTCTCTGCTCAAGGAAGTAGTGCTTGGTGTAATGCAAAGATGCCTGGACTGGGAGGCAAGAGGCCTAGTTTCTAGTTTTACCCTGTCACTAAGTCACCGTATCTCTGGAAAAGTTATTAAGTTTTTCTGAACTGCCACTCCTTCAACAGTGGATTGTACCAAATGTTCTCTAAGGTCCCTTCTAGAGCAAAGTATAGCACTCAAATATCTGGCAAATTTTAATTCCAAAGTGAGCAAAAATAAAAACTGGGCCCCTTAATTGAGGTTCTTCTCCCCACCTGCCTGGGAAACCAAGAAACTAATTGGCTTCTATCCCATGGTTACCATGGGGAGTTAAAAAGGAGGGAGAGAGAAGGAGAGTGGATAGAAGTCCAGGTTCCAGGGACCTTCACAACTCTTACCCCCTCTGACTTCCACCCATAGGAGCTCAGCTCTGGTGCTAAGAGGTAAGAGAACTCAAGGTTTTAGACACATACCAGAATTTGCAAAACTGGTCTAGCCATACAATGCTTTATGGGAGCTGGGTGAGAGAGTATCTTACGTCCCTGCAGTGGCAGAAGAACATGAAGGGGAGCCTGGGAAGAAGGCACCCCTCTGCCTGCAGCTAAGGCAGTATTGTAGGGCTGGGCTGGGAAAACAAAGGCCTGGCTTCTGCAGGATTTCGTCCTTCAATCTGAGTTTTTCCTCCCCAGAGAAAGAAACACAGGAGTACAAGATGAAAGGCTGACTTATTTTAACCCGACTGTCTTCCCCTACTCAGTAGCTGTCCTGTAGGAAGGCCTGATTGGGTAAACAAAGCCAAAAAAGGAAAAAAAAAAGGCTTCCAGAGATTCTCTGGTACTGTCCAGTCCTTCCTCCAGCCATGACTGGCTGGTCCTGAACCCTTCAGGGAGAGATCTTTAGGGAAGGAGCTACCACAGATTCCCTCCTTGCTAAGAAGGGCATGGGCACAGTATAAGTTCGGAGAAAGGGTTGAGGGAGGACTCTTCTTGAGGTTCTGTCATCCTTGTCCCCATTCCTTTTTATCCTGGAACTGGGCCCTGTCTGAGTCATCTTTGCTCTCTCCTGTGGCTGACTTCTCCTGACTGCAGTCTCCCTTCCATGCAGCCTAGTGCAACTCAGTTCTGATTTCCCCTCTCTCAGTTCCCAAATTCTGAGGCTCTTTCCCAGTTTTAAACTGGGAGCCCTTGGGTTTCCACGTATCTGGACGTTGCAGGAATGAAAGAAGAATGGCATCCTGGTAGTCTTTGGGTGTTAGGTTTCCCCCCACCCCTCATTTCGGTTGGTATCTGCACACCCCCACCTTTATTACTGCATTGCAGAACGTCTGGGACTTTCGGAGGAGGCCTCACCCCAGACTGCGGGGAGATTTGGGCATCCCAAAGCCACAATCAGCCGGATAGGCGAGTGCGTAGGAGGAGGGTGGGGGTGGGAATCTATCAGCACAGACAAAAAAAAAAAAAGCAAGGACGTTGTCTCCTGCAGGTGGTTACCCTATCCAAGGTTTCTTTCACCACAACGCAGGGAGAGAGCTCAAGAGGAAAGGCCAAAAGCCTTTTTTATACCTCAGCCCATCTTTCATTGGCCTGCCATCTTTCATTGGCTTCCCTCCTCCAGGAGGAATCCCCGCCCCCTCCGGCCACTGACCTTGAAAGAAAACTGGAGCGTGCACAAGCTGCCGCCCAGCTCTGCTGACAGACAGTGTGTTTTTGAGAAGGCAGCCAGTTATGTTCCAGAATCGATCATCTTCATTATTCCTTTAGATTGCTAAATCTAAACCTCAAACCCAGGTTTGACTCAAAAGAGAGTCATATCTCTGTCCTTCAAAGGCACTTCGTGGAGACGACAGACAGAGAGAGAAAGAGACAGAGAGACACACAGAAACAGAGGCGCGGGGGGGGGAGATGGGGGGGAGAGAGAGAGAGAGAACAAGGTGTCGGGTAAGACACTCTCTGGGTCAGCTAAGAGCTCTATAAATTGCACCCCACCCCATATTCACAACAGAGAATAGAACAGCGAGAACGAGAGACAGAGAACGAGAGGCTGACACCGAAAGAAAGACCTAGAACCAGGGGACATTAGAGACAGGCGGCGAGAATGGGAAAGAGAAATCAAGAGAACGAGAGAGGAGATGAGAACCAGAGAGATAGATGGGTAAAAAGGGCAGTCAGAGACAGACTTAGGAAACAAGAGGAGAGAAAGAATAAACGAGAAAGACAGATGGAGGAGGAAAAGAACAATTGCCTAACGAATAAAATTAAAATTCCTGATCCCGGCATATAGATCTTCCACAATCGGGATTCGACTTACCTGTCCAGTTCTTTCTTTCGTACTCTTCCCTTTGAAGTATTGTACAACAACACTTTGTATAACAATCTGGACTGCTCTATCTCCTGTCTCTTGACTGTTCTCTCTTTTTTCTTCCTCTTTCTGTTCATTTCGTAACGCTTATCCTTACTGCCTGGAGTGGACCCCCTCTCCTCTTCTGTTGAAGTTTCTCTTCCTCAAGGTTCAGGTGCCATTTCTTCCTAGAAGCCTTCCAGGAACTCACTCTAATCCTAGATGAAAGAGATTCCTCCCTCTTCAAAATGGTTGTATTACTCGGCCCTGATCTTTCCTTTCCCCTTACCCTACTCTCCTTCGTATCCAATTAATTGAGGGCACGGCTTTCCCGTCTCTATTAGATTGGAAGCTCCTTGAAAGCAGTCCTAAGTACTGTGTCTAACTGAATCCAGAGAGATAGGAACAGAAGCAGAGACTTAGTGGGAGGGGAGAGTGGGGATTCACTCATTTCTTAAGAATCTTCCGTGAGTACAAAAGACCAAGAAATCGTTTCAAACTAACCTCTCAGATGAGGCACCAAATCAGCGAAGCAGTCCGGGCCGACAGTCAGGCCAGCGACGAGGGGAGGGGGATTCACTAAAGCAACTCAGAAAACGCCTTCCCAGGGGCGGACTTTCTTCACTTTCCCAGAGAGCCACAGCGAGCTCTCCGAGCCGCCCTAGCGCCCACCCTTCACTCTGTGTTCCATTCGGGTCCCAGTCCTCCGGCCCATCACCGTAAGTCTTAAAAGCCTGAAAACGTCCTCTCTAGCCAGTCCCTGACAGGGCGGTGACGCCAAGACGCCCTCTAAGGTTTTGAGAAGGCAGAGCTTGGGGCTGTTGAGCTGAGAAGGGGAGAGAAGGGAGACAATTAAAGAGTAGGGTTTCTGAATCTGTCTACACAGGTATAGAAAAGTGGATTGATTATCTAGATAAACCAGGCAAACTGCTCCCTATCTCCACCCGCAGTCTGCAACTGAAAAAAAAAAGGGGGGGGGAGATTTCTAATCAGAAAGATGTGGGTTGGTTTTCTATACAAATCAAATCCTATCCTCTTCCTTTTGACCAAATAGACTGGGGACGGGATTAGAGAAACTCGCTATTTCTATTCTGGCCCGGCCCTCAGGACTTTTTTAGACACCCGTCTAAGATCCAGGGGGAGGAGTTTCAGCGTATGGGTATATAATAACAGCAAGTGGCAGACGGTGTCATAGATCATATTTAAAGCTAGAAGAGAACAGAGAGGTCAACTATTCCAGTCCTCTCAGTTTACAGACAGGGAGACTGAGACACGGAGAAATTAAATGATTTGGGCATGATCACTCAATCAGTAAACGCGAGAGCCGGGATTCAAACCCCCAGCTTTTTTCTCTGATTTCCAGATGCAGAATTCTTTCAACTACAACACAGCCCCAGGAATGGGTGAGTGGAGTTAGGGAGGAAAAGGGTAACAGTAAGTTATCTAGCCTGCAATTCCAAATTCTGACGGGTTTCTGCAAAGGCTACATGAGCTCTCAAACATTCAGTCCGTCAACAAACATTTAAGCGTACAGAGTAGCGTGCCTAGGTGCTGAGGTGGACGAAAAGTTCAGGTAAAACAATCCCTCGTGGAGTTCCTCTTCTAGAAGACATTTTCTTTCTGCTCACCTCTTTCTCCATTTCTTTCTATTGACCAGCTAGACATCTTTTCATTCGTTGACTTTAAGCAGTGTCCTGAACTAAGCAGGTGTTTAGTAAATATTTCTTGAGTGAACAACGAATGAATTAATTTTTAAACGAAGTGGATCCCACTTTACTTTTCTCTAGTTGCAAGATCAGGCTGCCCCACCAGATAGGAACGAAGAAATCAGGTTCTGGGCTCAACAACAAAACGAAACAAAAACAAAAACGTCACAGGGTCATTGTTTCCTCTTTATTTGTGTATATAACTATGAACCACATCTTATGTTAAAGATAGATTTTTTTTCTGATATACATTTTCATCTCATTTACCACAATTACACCACACGCACATTTGAACAGCTCCACAATCTGATAGGTTGCACAGAATGGGGTGGGTTTTGTTTCCTGAAATTCAACAAGTTGCAGTTTATGTTCACCTCCCCCCTCCAAAGAAAGAAATGAAACGAATTCCAGTTTGTGTTTTCAGCTGAAGGCAAAATGTCCTCAGCAATGGGAAGCTTGCTGGCGATGGGGAGAAGTGGAAGATTCTGGGCATATTTGTTGATCGAGAATCCCCTCCCATCCCCCATCCCCAGTCAAAGCTCAGAGTCCCTGGCCAGTTTCTCCCTCTCTGGGCGCCGCTACAGTGACGTGCTGCTTGTCCTAGAATAGCTACAATGTGCAAAATGCGCTTGAGAGGAACCCCACCTACACTGCTCTGGGATCGGGGCTGGGGGTAGGAGGAGGAGGGGACTCACAGAAGGGCTAGCCTGGTCCTTGTCCATTGCATAAAGAGTCCCCGCGATCCAGTGCTGTAGCTAATTCCAGGAAAGGGGTTTTAGTGGGAAGAAATTCCCTCAAACATTGGCACGGGTTTCCCTGCCCTCTGATGCCCCGCCCCCACCTAACCCCCAGCCTTTTTTTTTAAATAAATAAATAAATCCAAATTAAAATAAAGGCTTTGATTTAGGATTATTCTATTTCCCTCCTGCATAACTAAAAACAAGAAAATAGATATTTAAATTTAAAGCTTAGATCGAAAAACTAAACCAAAAGTCAGGGCTATGGGAAGGGGAAGGGGGAGAGGGAGGAGTGAGTGAAATAAGAGCTTGGCCAATGGCGACACAGCCCAAAAGCCTAGACATGTCAGGATAGACAATATAGATCCTGCCTACCCCCAAATAGACCGGATTGAATAGGGAGGGTCACGGAGATGCAAACAGCTGGACTGGACTGGGTGAGGCTTGGATGGGGGTGGGATGGGGCGGATTCGATAGAGGTATGGGGCCTGGATTGGGTGTGGCAGTCTTTGGACCACTCACTCTAGCCACCCAATCCCAAGACTGTGGAAGGGCTTGGATAGGAAAGGATGCAGAGATGGAGCCTGGGAGACCTGGCAGAATGGGATTGGATTGGGCTGGATGGAACGGAACTGGGCAGAGAGCAGCGAAGGAACCCGTGGGACCAGAGGGTGAAGGTTGGGAGCAGTGCAGGTGTCCATGGGAGAGGAGGAGTCGCCGAAAGGACGCCCGCCAGTCCACCAGCCCTTCTGCCGCTTTTTCAGGGTTTAGTCTTCTGAATTGGTTCGGTAAGCCTCGATGAGCCCCTCCAGGGAGTGCACGAACCCGGACACGCTGCAGATGCCGCCAATAAGGAAAATGGCCGCGTCGAAGAAGACGTGGTGCCAGAGTAACTTCCGCCACAGCAGCTTGAGGTGGAAGAGGCTGGGCAGCAGGAAGCAGAGGCCCGCACCAGTCAAGCTCCCAGTGAGGCCCATGAGCAGCGCGAAATGCGGCACATAAATGGCCATGAGCAGCGTGAACACCACGAGCGCGCAGCGCAGCGTCAGCCCCCAGGGCTTCAGCCGTCCATCACCCCCATAGCAGTTGGGGAGGAAGGTGCGGCTGCCTTCCTGGAAGAGGGACTTCTCCAGCACTTCCACAGCAGCAAAGAATGGCAGCGGGTAGGATAGGAGCGCCTTGGCCACCAGGAAGATGTTGACCACAGCACGAATGGTGGATGGCAGGTTGTCGGTGATGACCTCTTTAGTCTCGTCGGCCCAGGTCAGGTATGCCACGAGCGCAAAGAGGCCCTTGAGCACGCAGGCCGCGATGTGCGTCCAGTTCATCATGCAGTGGAACTCCTTAGGCTTCTGCATGTTGCCTTCCAAGGACGGGAGGAAAATCTGTGAGGTGTAGCTAAAGACGATGATGCCTATAGAGATGGGGAACTTCTTCACGTCTATGTAAAACTTGACCTTCTCCCAAGCCCAGTCCCGGGCTCTGGACAGGCAGTAGGCAATGACGAGGATGTTGATAACGAAGTGGGCCAAGGTGCAGAGCAAGCTGAATTTGGAGACGGCTTTTAGATTTTTCAGAAAGGCGCAGGGCAATAATGCCGCAGTGGCGATGATAGACCAGGACTTCTGAGAGACCGGCAAGCTGGGAAAGCTGTTGTACATCAGATTGCCACTGACCACTACATAGAGGATGCACGTCATGACCAACTCGATAATCTGAGCCACATTGACTATCCTCCCTCCCAGTTTGGGGAACCTGGGAGAGCAGCAGGCGTTGGCAATGTCCACGTAGGAGTCCCTCACCCGGACTATCTCCCCGTCTTCATTTTCCTCGTAGAGGCATGCGATGAGAATTTTGCCAGTGTAGCAGCAAACCACGGCGGCGAAAATAATTAAAAACAGTCCTAAATATCCTCCGTGCAGAATGGCATAGGGTAGGCCCAAGACAAACATCCCCTACAAAAGACAAAACGGAAACGAAAAGGCTCGGTGGGCCTGAGCTCAGCTTTGACTAGGGAGGGGAGGGGAGGGGAGGGGGAGGAGGGGAAAAAGGAGTGTGTGTGTGTGTGTGTGTGTGTGTGTGTGTGTGTGTGTGTGTGTGTGTCTAGCACAGTAGATTGTCATCAGAGCTGGAACGCCCCAGCTCCCTTCTCCCCAGAGGAGTTCTAGCCTCGGGGCTTCGGAAATTGCGGGATTTGGAAAAGGAAGGAAACGAAATTGAGGGGAACTAAGGTTCTCGAGTTTTGCCCTTCTCACAGTGCGTCTCCTACTCCTCCCTCACCCCCAACAACTAGCCTTGTCCTCAACCCCGAATTCAAAGCCTTTCCCTTTCCTACTACGGACAGAAGCGCTGAAGTGAGCCGCAGCAGAAACCGCCTCGGGCTTGGGGCTGCGCGACCTCTTGGCGGGAAGTGGACAGCCAAACCTGTCAGAGAGGCTTGGTGAGGACTAGATGCCAGCCAGCCTCAGCGCACCGTGAGGAAAGAGTACTGGCTAATGTATAGCAGGGCCTCTCGGTAGGGGGAGGTCCTCTGCAAAGGGAGGTGCGCCAATGGCGCTAGGTTGCCGGGACCGCGACCAGTTAGCTCCTCTTGGGTCCACTGGCCCTGAATACAGGCTTCGCCAGGACGCAAGTTCCACTCTTGAATGGTAATTGAAAAAGCTTTCACAAGTACATTCATTAAAAGACCTGACAGCACCTGTCTTCTACTCTGGGAGGATTAGTCCCTGTTACCAGAGCCATAGGGAGAAAGGCAGGACAGAGAATACCAGAACAGAACCAGCAGGGTAAGGGAGACCTCGGTCTCTTGTGGCAAGCTGTTGGAAAGCTCCCTGACCCGCCTCTTCTCTGAGCCCCCGCCTCTCTTCCCTAGGCCCCCAGCCCGCCCCTAAAGGCCCAGGACTCCGAATTCACATCTAGAACCTTAGAGGGGACTTTTCCCTTTCCAGCTCTGGGAAGATATTTAATCTCTTTGCCGCTCTCCTTTGCTTAGTTTTCCGTCGGAGCCGGGATTTACACTGAAAGAAAAGAGGAATCGAAGCTGGTATGAGATCGCGTGTGTGCGGAATCTGTGTTTGACCAGATTTGTCTCTCCTAGAGATCTGTCTGTGCCACACACACGTATACACACATATCTATGTCCGTCGTGAGATATCTGTCCCACAGGGACAGATATCTGTAGGCCAGGATCCATGTCTGACAATGCGTGTTAATGTCCGTTTGTGATTTTGTTTGGCTCTCGTGTGCTATCCAGGTCTCTATTGCTCTCCGAGCTCTGCGTGGAAGAAGCGGAGGCAACCAGGGGTTGTGGAATAGGTTGCCGAGATGCGAGATTGAAAAGAGCCCCTAGGTCAGATATTTCTCTTGCAGTTTTGCCCTGAAAGTGGATCCATTCCAGAACCACTGACAATTCCATAATTTCTCATCCTTGTTTTCTCTCTCTCCCTTCTGTCTCTCTCAGCTTCCTTCCATATCGTTTTCTCTCATTTCGCCTCTCTCTCTCTCTCTCTCCCCATCCTCCTAGGTTCAATCTCAGGATCTTGCCTATTATGTCTCTGGATCTGCCTGTTTCTTTTTCAATCTGTTTCTACGTTCTTGGTAGACTGTGTCTGTTTCCAGTCTCCTCCATCTCTGTCTTTGTCTCTACCTCTTTCTGAATCTCTCTAGACCCGCGTCTCTGTCTCTCTTTTCCTGTATGTCTCTGTCTCTGTACCCCTTTTACTTCTGCCATGTCTGCTTCTTTCTCTCTTAGACTCTGTCTCTGTGGGCCCTCTGTCTGTCATTTTGTCTCTGTCCTTGTCCATGTATGTGCCACAGCCTCCCTGATGCTCTGCCTCATTTTGTTTGTCCCCTCACCGTTCCCTTATGTCAAAATTTGTGTATCTATTTATCTCTCTTTCTCACCGTCTCTGTTTCTTTATCTATCTCTATGTCCTCTCATCTACGCTTGTTTCTGTCTCTGCTTCCTTCTCTGCCCCGCTTTCTCTGTGTGTACATGTCCCTCCGCCCAGGTAGTAAGTGCTTCTCTGCCTCAGCCACCGCCGCAGTGTCCCTTGAGGGGAGGAAGGGTGACGCTTACCTGGATGGCGTTGGTCACATTCCAGCCTGCTTCCCAGGCAGTAATCTTGGGCTTGTCCTGGCCACCCCCGAATTCAGAACACATGCCCTGTTCCTTGGAACCCGAGGGTGGCAGGGGCCCAGAGCCGTCCCTCTGGTAGTGGAAGTCACCCTCGACGGGCGGCTCAGCACCCTCCTCACTGGGCTCCGACTTGAGGATGTCCATCTGCAGTCCCTGCCGATGCTCCAGGTCCAGGTCGTCGCAGTGGGGCGAAGCCCACAGCCTCCTCGTCAGTGGCCGCCTGGAAGCCCATCCTGGCGAACATGCCACTCACCTTGGCCTGGGATTTGTTGGACACAGAGGTGGCCACATTGGACAGTTTGCTGCGAATCAAGGTGGCCATGGCTGCAACTTGGGCCCGACCCACTCCACGGACAGCTAAGGAGGCTGGAGGTCACCCGGGCAGCCTCCGGGCGCAGGCTATGCAACGGCTTTAGCAATGGCTGGTGAAACCGCTATCTCCACTTTCCCCCCACGTTCTTCCTTCTCCACCCGCTGGCACCCTGGATCATGACCTCTCTCTGCGCTTGGAGATCAAGGAGGTGGCGGGTCTGGGGGCCAGGCCTGGGCGGGCGGACTAGTAGAGACTGGAGGGAGGCGGCGCCGTCAGCAGCGGCGGTGCTAGTGCACTGCAGAGAAGCCGAAGGGGCGCGGGAGGGGATGGGGGAGCAAGAACAGCAGCGTCAGATCTCCAACGCAAGCCTGGCGCGGCGCACTCCGCGTCCGCGGCCCAATGCGATCATCTGTCAAACGGGAGGGGAAAAAAAATCCAACGGAGGCGGGAGGGGGAGAGGGGAGTAGGAGGGAGAAGGAGAGAAGAAGGGAGCGGAGGAAGAAGGAGAAAAGAAGGAGAGAAAGAAAAGGGAGTGAAAAGAGAGGAGAGGAAAGGAGAGGAGAGGAGTCGGAAGAAGGAAAGAGGGAGATAGAGGAATGGAGAAGAGAAAATAGGAGGAAAGGAGAAAAGGAGATGGGAGAAAAGAAGGAGACGAAAGGTGGGGAAGAAGAGAGGAGGAGACTAGAGGAAAGAAATGGGGAGGGGGTGGAGCGGAGAGAAGTGCTGCATTTCTGGGGGAGGTTCTTCCGTGCCTTAGCCGAGCCTTTTGCGCTTCCTACCATCGACAGACCCCAGAATGGTGACGGGTTTGAGTATTTTGGTTCCTCCCAAGTCTCTAATGCTCAGCCTTTTCTGATTAGCTCCTGAATCAAATCGGGAAGCCCTGGAGCTTCAGAGTGGCGTCAAAGAAGTACGCAAGAATTGGGCCTGAAAGATCCAAAAGGAAAAGCACTCTTCATTCTTTTCTCTTCTGCCTCTGTTACCCTCTGTGTCGTTTGTCTGTCTGTCTCTCAATCACAGACACACAGACACACACACACACAGGTACACACTTGGGCACACACACGAGAAAGTGCACAGCTCCTTGCCTCAATCTCTGTCAGAAGTCTGGGTTATTTATTTCAATGAGGGAGAGGGTATTGGAGTGTCTCTAGGATTGAAGGATCAGGATGTACAATGTGTGGTGGGTTTCTGTCTGAAGTCTCTGTCCAATGAGGATAATGGCCCAGGTCTCAGGCCTAGATGCCTCTCGCAACTTTGGACAGAGGATTTAAAGTGAGATCTATTTCCAGAAGCCCCAGTGAAGACTAGAGGTTGGGAACACGCCCCTCCCCAATCCCCGGCTTGGACACACTTCCAGCCCCGAGGCAGCACAGACCCCAAATCCCCTTCCTGCTCCGCACATGCCTACTTCGTATCTCCCATATCTGTGCGTGTCCACCTGAGTCTGTGCCCATCTGGGTCAGTGCAAACAACAAGGATTCCCGGTATGAGGGACTCAAGCGAAGAGACCAGGAAGGAGAAGAGCTCGGGAGGGAGAAGTCCCAGTAGAAGCCTCTAAAGGCTGACAGTGCAGAATGGAGGGATTCGGCATAAAGTTATTTTAGGGAAGACCGCCCGGCTCGAAGTGTGTGTCCTTTCTCGGAAACTGTTCTTAACAGCCGCAAAGGGCAGTTAGGAAAGCAGTAATCCAGACCCCAATCCGACAATTCAGACGTAAACCATTTTCTCCAAAATATCTGAATCTTTTAGGCAAAGTGTTTTCTGATCTCTTGGGGTGGGGGAGACTGAGGGAGGTTCAGGTGTCAAAAATGAAGATATTAAGTCAACTCTTTGCTTTCACCTAGGGGTATAGATAGGCTCCCTACACCTAGAAACTGAGGGGAAAGAATTATTCGGAACCAACGAGGTTAGAGCTCAGTAAAGCAAAGATTACATTGAACCTGTCTGAGCTACTGCAAAGATCACAACCTCTCCATGTCACCGTAGGCCTGAGCTGAGGGTCTGAGCCTGGAGTTCAGCGAGGGAGGCAGGCTGAGGGAAAGGAGAGGGAAGCTGAAAGCATGTATGTCTACGAGTGATTATGCTTGTGTTCCCGTGAAGGGTGTACATGTCTGTGTGCCCCTATCTGTGAGTGCCTGTGTTCCAGTGTCTGGGAGTGTATTTGTAGGCGTTTATAAGTCTCTGTATACATGCATTTGCGACTGTGTGTGCAAGTAGATTCTGGGAGGGTGCACTTAGCCGTATGTGCGTGCTAGCATCTCTACATGAATATATTGTGATCATGGAGGGTGGTGGTGTATGGCCCAGTTTCCCTCTCCAAATCCCTATGACCCAAAAACCTTATCTCCAAACCCAACAAACCCGGCTATAGCAGCCGGCCTTCCACTCCGCCCTGCCAAAACTGAGATTATTCACTGAAAAGGGCGGAGTTGGGGATGATGCTGTATTGCTCCCAAGGGACCAATTTCTCTTTGGGAATTCCTCTGACACCCTTCACAAGTCCTGCACCTTGAGATCTTCCTAGAAAGTGGCCCAGCGGAGCAGAAAGAGGCTAGAGGGCTCTCCTTTCCCCCCAGGCAGCATAAGGAATTAGCTCTAGTCAGTGGGCAAAGAGGTCAGCAACAGCACTAGAACACCTGGAGCATTCCCAGCTCAGGACAGAGAGCCTTAAGGAAAACAGTCTCTCCCCATTCACCCACATAATCACCCACCCTATCACATTCACAGTCCTTACACACACAAACCACTGAGCCTATACACAGAAAGATACATAGAAATCCACTGTAGACACACATACATTGAGATCTCTCCACATAGACACCTCCCAACCCATCCTCCACTCTCACAGAGACCCCTATCTCATCACTTCCAGTCTCCAACAGAAACTGGCACAGACTTCCATAAGAAGTCCCTAGAGACAATTTACAAATATCCTCCTATACAGAGACCCATCCTACATAAAACTTTCTTAAAAAAATTATCTCAGAATACTGGGTTGGGCTTAGATCCCTTCTTTGTGGGAGGCTTCTCATTTTAACATATTCCTAGATGGTGCTTATCTCTAGCAAATTGATCAACGATTTGCATGTGTTTGTGGATCCATTAGTGTGTGGATTTAACTGAATTCCACAAGCTCCTACCTCTCCTCTCAAGGCTTCTCTAATGGCTTCCTCCTTCCTGCACCCGTCCCTCTCACTCACCTTACCAATCTGGACTTTGAAGCTAAGCAAGAGAGGGGGAAAGCAGAGGTGGAAGATGTGGGGATTTGGGGTGGGAGGGTCCTTCATTCATTCAACAAACATTTATTAAGCAAATTAAGTATGTGTTCCTCCTCTTGCTTGGCACTGCAGGAAATAGAGATGATTAAGAGATGGTCCCCGTGTTCTTAGGGATCTTACAATTGTGGCAAAAGAAACTTGGAATCCAATTCTCTCTGTGTAGGTGTGCACGCACGTGTCAGTATGAAAGTGAGAATGTCAGCAAAAATGAGTGCCGCAGCTCAGAGTGAGAGTGAATAGGTCATTGCTTGTGAATTGCACATGTGATGGTTTTTGTGTGGGTGAGAATGTTAATGAAAACAATAGAAAAAGAAGAATGGGAGGAGAGAACAAAGGAAAGAAGAAAATGGAACGTGGAACGAATAAAAAAAGAGTGAGAAGAAGAGGTAAGTGAAAAAGAAGAGGCTGAGACAAAAAATCCACTTTCGCAAGTCTTTGCCCAGATGCTGCTATCCCCTGAGTACCTGTGCAAGGCTGTCTAGACACCGAGAATGGGAAGCGATGAATTCCAAGCCCAGGGTACCTATCCAACTCTGCTCCCTAAGGTCACTATGGGTTCTCCCAACAGAAACTGAATGACCGCTTGTCCAGGATATTGGCTATGGGAAGTTATGGACTGGATGTTATGTTGGGGTGCCTTATGACTCTGAGATTTTAGGAATTCAGGATCCACCCCGAGTCCACACAAGACTTACTGAGCAAGGGGGTCAAGGGCCACGGGACAGAAAGGCATGGGTACGAATGTGTGGACCTCTGGCTTCTCACAGCAGGGACTCAGAGTCAGAGGTGAGTCAATGAGGCCGCGGAGAAGGAGCAGGGAGAAGAGCAAGAGTGTTACGCGAGGGACACCTACACTTTGTCCAGATTAAATATTCACCTTTCCTGATTTTGCATCACGACCAGAGTCTGTTTGCAATCCTGCACCAACTACCTCAACTCACCATTTCGCTCCGCCTCCCCTCAGGCATTTTAGTCCCCAGCATAAGGACAAATCTGGCACCGGGAAGTCACCTTCTGTTGACAAATGGCACGCAGAGGGTTAATTGTTTGCTACGGGTCGGGGAGCAACCTATTTAAACGGAATGAATAGGGTTAAAGAGGCTGAGCTTATCTCCGGCTCACAGAGTCGGCTCTGGCGGGATGAGCTCCGGAATTAACAGCCTGGAAAACGCGAACATCAAGACCATCATTGAGGGGCAGTGAGAGCACGACGACGGGGCGTCTGGGCAAAACCCCCAGGGAATCTCCTAGAGACTCCATCTTCTGAGCTGAGGAGGACCACAGCTCCCCTCAGGCAGGCGCGGCGGCGGGGTAGGAGAGAGCCTTCCATCTGGGGAACCTAAAGAGTCCTTGGGGATGGTGGAGAGTGGGGGAGGGGAGTTGGGAGGGTTGGGGGAGGCGACAGACTCCCCTGTCTGCAGGGATTTGTGCCAGCTCAGAACCAAACGGAGAAAGTCTGTTCCTGTTTGAAACCTAACATGTGCAGGCATCTCAACCAGCAAAGATCAGCAGGCGAGATGATTGCACAGAAGAGGATGCTTAAGAGGGCAAATATTATTGTTGTTAATAAGAATTCACATTCCTTTAGTACTTTTAAGGTTTACAAAGCACTTTCCTCTCATGAACCCTGTGAAGTAGGTGGTTCAACTTTAGGGCTCAGATGAAGAGCCACCTCTTACGTGCTCCTTAAGAGTAGTGCCGCCCTATCTCCTAGTAGTACTTTGTATCAGGTTTACCTTATCAATGAATGTCTTGTAACACCGTCCTCCCAGGATGCTGGGGGTGCTCCTTGAAGGCAAAGGCTGTCCCACTTCTGTATTTATATTGCTATCATCTAGCACAATGCCTGGCATATGGCACGAAATTAATCAATACTCGTTGATCAGTGGAGATGCTGGAGATGTGAGCATTATTTTCTTTCCATTTTATAGAGGTAACTCACATGCCCACAGGCACACAGGTAGGAAGTGTCAGAGTTAGTATTTGAACCCGGGTTTCCTACCTCTTATCTCATTACTCTTTTCACTATAATTAGGGGCACACACAAAGGTTAATTTCTTAGGAATATAGAGGTACCTACTGCCTCAGGCAAATCACTTGGCTTATCTACATAATTCATTCTCAGTCATTGAAAGTGCTCATTCAAACAGTATTTTGGTGACACTCTACTCCCCCATAGCCAGGGATGGTGGAGTAGATTC